TTTCTTTCCTTGTATTGTATGCAGGGTACCTGCTCTAGAGTGGATGTAGCATTCACAACATAATCCCCACATTGGAGTATGACACAGTCACAAGCTAGATTTACCCACCTATGAAACACCTAACCCCCCATAACTGTGAGGCTTTGGGGAGCCATCCAGACACAAACCTTAACAGAAGGGCACTGATAGAATCTAGCAATGAAGGTGCACCTTTATTTCCCAGAACATAGATACCTTGTATGTTGAGGTCTGGGTAATAACAAAATCATTAATTCTTTGAAAATATAATTTTTTTTTGCCATTGTGTTAAAATTGGTATTTTCAAAAAAGTAAATTCATTATTTACATTTCAGGCACAAATAATTTCATCCTATGGAAGATGGACACCAATTCTGCATTTTGTTTCTGTATGAAAATTTAAAACATGTCCTGGTTTCTGCAGCTAAAGTTATAGGCTGAATGTCCCAACTTTGTCATCTTTATAAGTTGTGAAAAGTTGCCATGTTGTTGGGGCAGTGTTTTTTGGTGAGAATTCAGGCAAACTGCTTTGGGAAGATTGAAAGAATGCTGTAGTCCATTGTTAGTAAATTTATAATATTTTCCTTTTGTTTCTCCATTGGTCTGAGCAAACAAGACCTTACATTACTAAAAGTATAAACTCCGCAGTTCTTCCAGATTCTCAGCCTTCACTCCTTATCTTGAGAAGGCTGAAGTATTTCAACTTTCAGACTTTGTGGAGAGTGTCCCACCTTGGAAACACTGCCCTTTCTGTGAAACTTGGCTGTCCACTCTTTCCGTACAACTCTTCTCGGATTGTTAAGATCAACCTAGATGGTGCCATCTTATTTCAGGAAAAAATGAAAACTCTTACTGGTGCCAAAAATCACAGATTGTGGTAGTATTCTTATCATTTGTTGCCTATCTTCATAAATAAATGCTGAATTTTAATTAGAGATTAGAGAAAATAAAAACCTCAGTTTGTAGATACCCATGTATGCAACCCCTAGGTCCACAGTTAAGACTATCTAGGTTAAAGATTTCCAAGAAACTCAGAGTCCTGTCCTTTGTATGCCTAGCAGAAGCCAAGGAGGTGAAAAGTGGTGGGATGGAGCCATCCACAATTGTACAATTATCTATACCCCCTATTTTATCTGTTTTTCTGGGTTTCTTGAGTTTCCTTATGTCTTTCTCAGTAGGTCTTTTATGTCAGAGTAAGATGAAAGCTAACTGTTCTGTTTGTTCAGCAGCTGTTGTGTTTTGCTTTTTTTCTGGGGATTCTTTTTTTGTTTGCTGGATGATTTTAAAATATATTCGGTGGTTGTAGGGGAGACTGAAACTGCTAATTATTGTGAGTCACTTATTCATGCTATGTCTAGCTTCTTTTAAAAGATAATTAGATTGTAAATGTGGGTAGAATTCTGTTTTCTTCAACCTTGTCTGCTGCCTTTGAGTCATTTGAAGTAAGTAAAATTTAACCCTTTCTCACCTTCACTTCTAGAACAATGCTTTCTGTACAGTATCTCTTGTTTTCCTGCTTCATAAATGGTTCCTTTTGAACATTCTTGTCCATTTAACATTCTTACAACCAGGAAAATGTAGGCATTCCTCCCTATTAGGCTTCCAATTGGTTTTCTTTTTACCTTTTTTACATTTAATATATTAGGATTCTCTAAAGGAATAAAATCAATAGAATATATGTGTGTATAACCCAAAGGAATTTATTAGGTAGGATCAGATGGAGGTCCACAATGGCTGTTTGCAGGAACAGAGACAGAATAACCCACAGTGACTGTCTGCATGCTGGAAAGCTGGAGAATCTAATAGCTGCTCAGCCCAAAAAGATAGAAGGTACTGAACAAGAGGGGTTGAAGACAGAGCACCAGCCCAAGGTCAAAGGGCAGGAGGTTCACTGTAAGTTCCCAAAGCAGGAACATTTCCTTCTCCTTTCCCTTTTTATTCCATCCAAGCTACTAGCCTATTGGGTGGTTCTACCCATATTCAGAGTGATCTTCTTTCCTCAGTTTGTTGACTAACATGTCAATCATTCACAGATGTACCCAGAACTGTGCTGTACCAATCTGCTAGGCATATCCTGCATATCCTGTATATCCTTTTGATTCCTTCTCTGCAGTGTGTTAGGCTCTGCAGGATACAAACCTGGACCACTGTGCAGGCCCCTGCCTTCACACACCCTGGAGTCTGAAGAATTGCATCTTGAACAAGTGATGGTTTTTTTTAAGAGTTCTAAGTAGAATCAAAGGAAAGTGCAAGTTGCCATGAGAGTTGATGATAAGATGTTATCAACCTTGGGGATGTAAGGAAACCGAACAGAGAAAGTAATTTAAATTGGAATTTTGAAGATTTTCTGAGAGAAACCTCAGTGACCAGTATAGAGCCTGGGGCTGGGAAAATGCAATTGAAATGCCAGAGTCTAGAAGGTATAGCAGAGAAGTCTTGACGAATATGTCAGGTGTGCCCATGGTATAAAGCTGAGAGCATTTGAGGCCAGTAAAGTTACAGAAAGGCAGATGAGACTGGCAAATGCTTTCCTCCCCTGTTAGCGTGAGGTGAGGACAGCAGTGTAGGAAGTAGGGAACTCCAAGGAAGGTTAATTAGGAAGAGTGTTTAGGTTTACGTGTTACAAAGATTAACCCAACTATGATGAAAAATGGTTTGGAGAAGTGCCAGAGTCCAGGTTAAGAGGCCCCTGGAAGTGGTTCTAGAGCCCAGCTCAGAGACAGTGTGATGACTGCAGGAAAATCTATTTCTCCTTCACCTGCTCCTTATACCCATTGTACAAGTACATCTTTGAGACTTGACTCTGAATATTCCATTGTGCGTCTGTTTTTGTATCCAAGGAGCCAATTCAAACTCCTTGTTATTTTCTGGAACTATTTCAAAAGCCTCTACTGTTTATGACTTGTCGTCATGTAGCTTCTCTCTACTGCACTCCAGCAGTGTACAGGTGTGCTGCTGTAGTTATTCCCTGAAACATACTTAGGTATCTGCAAATGCATCAGAATTATGGCTCTTCTTCTTGGATCACGGTCAGTGTCATGCGGCTCAGCGCACTATGCCTGGTTTCTTCACCATGCCAGCTCTTACCATTACTCTCCTACCTCACTCCCCTCGTGGCTACCAATTCACAAACAGTAGATGCAACTCCTCCCTCTACCTAGAATACCTCTCTCTTCCAGCCTACGCCTATAAAAAATCTACTTTGGAGATTCATTTCAGGATCAGCTTCCTGCAATTCTAGATATCCCCATCCAGCACTGATTTTCTTCCTCCTGCCCGTGTTCCAAGTATCCATTTCATTAAACTTCTTATTCTCATTTCACCATTTACTAGTTAGTATCTGCTTCCTGTTTGAATAAGAATGTCTGTGGCAGGCTGACCCACTAGGTTATAAATTTCTGAACATTTGTCATAGTTATTTCTGAATCACGTACAGCGATTTGCTTGTCCTGTGCTTGTAGGGGTCAACCAATGTTAAATGAGTTTGTAGGTGGTAGTGGGTGATTGAATCCCAGTATTGTGAATGTCTCTGCTCCATACACTGGAACCCCATTCTGGCTGGAATAGTCTAGGTTTATCAAATTCAAAAAAACATTTTATTAGTGTTATTGTTTTTGTTTCTGAAGCTCATTAAACAAAAACAAGTCTCAAAATCCTAACAGTTAACAATTTTATTGAGAAATTCTGAATTTTGCATTAAATATAATATATGTTTATATGGGTTGAGCTCCAATTATAGGCTTTTAAAAAATTTTATGGAAAAAAGTAAAACAAAAAATCAAGATAGTTATACTACTAACATCTCTTAGTTCATTGAAAAGAAAGGTTTGTGCTAATATCATTTGGAGAATTTTTCATGCCTGTATCTTATGTGTAACTAAAGATAACAGTATGCAATGTATTAACTGTTATTATTCTCCTACTGTTTTGTTAGGCTTCTGTTGTTATTTTGATCTTGTATGTGCTGCTGGGCTTTGCACACAGGGTCCCACATGTGCTAAGCACGTGCTCTGCCACTGGGCTACTCCTTCAGCCCCAACTGTGTGTCTAACGATAGGTAGGCAACTGTGAATAAAATAGACCTCTGTTCCAGAAGCACTTAACAGAGATCTTCATTAAACTTCAGAGTTTTTCCATCAAGAACTACAGGAGAAACTGCAGAAGAAATCTGGAATTTACTAAACAGGAAAAAAATTTATTCATTCTTTTATTAAGAATGCTATGTTTATTAAGAAGTTTATCAAGAACTCAGAAATAGGGGAGAAAAAAAGAGCGGCCCCAGGTGCAATACCCAGAAGAGGTTGCCATGATATTAAAATAAATGAAAAGAGAAAACAGATTTACTTTAGCATTGCCGACTGTGCTTTATTTAGGGCTTGATTATTATGTCCCTTATTGCCTGATTTGAAGCAAGCCTTGCTCCAAGCAATTTTTATTACTTTCCTCTGAGTATTCTTTTACATCTTAGGCTAGGAAGCATCAGTAGAAGTGTTAAGCAATAATGATCACATTATTGATTTATAACGTGTGCCCAAATCATACCAGGGCCTGAAGATGTGCACAACTACTCTGTGGTCTCAAGTAGCTTGCAGAAGTAGCTCACAAAAAATGCATTCCTTATAGATTCATTGCTTCATCTATAAGGACAAACTTGGAATATATTACTAGAATTACTAGAAGAATAAGATCCTCAAGCTCTGAATTTTTTTTTCAAGGATAATTTGAACTGGAAATTGGGGGCATGCATTATGATTTTCTGAAAAATAAGTGTAAACTACAGAAAAATAGCATAATCCTCAGAACACATTAGCACAGGGGAAGCATAAGAGGGCTTCAGTGGAAAAATGTAAACTATGAGCAAAGTATACATTCAAAAAGGTTAAAGTATATTTTCCAGATGTTTCTGTATGCATATGTAAAGAAAGGTTAATGGCTTCAAATTTGACTCGCTTTTGTTTGTTTTTTTCAAAATCTTTTCTAAGAATTGCCCTGGTGGAAAATATTCCTGAAGGCCTTAACTATTCAGAAAATGCACCATTCCACTTACCACTTTTCCAAGGCTGGATGAATTTACTCGACATGGCCAAAAAGTCTGTTGACATAGTGTCCTCCCATTGGGATCTCAACCACACTCATCCATCAGCATGTCAGGTAAGCGCCGTGCTCTCCGTGTGTGATGATTTTACCTGTGTGCATTTTACACTCTTTAGTATTCTTGTCTTCCACTCCTATGGCTCAGTTCGTTTTGTAAATTCCACCTTCCCCCAGAGTACATGTACATCACTGCACTTATGTTTTATGTGCCGTTGTTAAGCATTTCTCTCTCAGCTCCTACTAGCACCCCAGGATTTCAAGGGCAAAACCATAGCTCATCTCCTTGCCTATGATAGACTGTCTGCACAGCATGCCTGTGTTGCAGGGTTTTGGGGGGCACCATTCACACCACAGTGCCTGTCAACAGTGAGGCTCAGAGTTCTGCTTTGCATAGGCTGCATATGTGCGGTTCTAATTCTAACTCCTTGCAGATGTGGATTGGTCAGTTTGTGTTTTGATTCACTGTCAGGCCCCAGAGTCAACTCTTTTTAACATAGAAGAGTCAAACATCCCAGGGCAACTGTCGATCCTTGACTCTGTCATATTTGGGTGGGTAGGAAAAGGCAACATGCTTATCACAGAGAATACCCTTTAGAAAACTGCCTGATTTAAGTGATCCCTGAATTAAATCTTTTGGTGTAAGAAAATGATCCTGATTGCTTTTAATGTATTTTTTTCTTTACATTGGTACAACCATGACAGTCCACACTGAGTCACCACTGGCCTGTCTATAAATGGCCTCTCTGGGAAAAGGGTACAGTTCAAGGACTCCATATCCTTTGCTCTTCAAAAGACGGCAACAGTTGAAAGCCCATGTGATTTACATTTTCCCCTGATTTTACCTTCCTAATAGAAAAGGAAGTTCAAGACTTACTCGACAGCCTGGAGTGGCAAAGATCAGACTTGTCAGTACACTTTCATTTTTACCAAGACCTTGTAAATACTGAGAGACCATTACTGATTGGCATATCACACACAAAAGCACAAGGAAAAAGCTCATTCTTGCATTACTCCAGTGAGCCTAATTTAAATTGTCTTTAAGATGCTCTGATTTGTTCCACAAGTGTCTAATAACAAATATTTGCTCAGATTCACAGTTTACTTTTTTAGTTTTATAAATTTTTATTGGTACACATTTGCAGTACATAATAATTGCTTTCATCATAGGGAGTTGATATATGTGCATAACTCACCTTAAGTCTTTTTGCTCAGGTTCACATTTATCCTCTTTCTTTATATGTATAATAAATGTATCTATCTATAAATAGATATATTTCTCTTTTAAAGAAAAATATCTTTTTTGAGGGGGAGAATAGTCAAACATGGCATTTACCTGAAAAGTCCTAAATGAGACCATAAATGGCACACAGATAAACAGGAACTATAGCCTAAAGCAGCTCATCCATTTATTACAATGCAGCAGTTCTCAAAATGCACCAGGAAGCAGCGTAGCTTGTGGCAGGCAGGCTCAGCCCAGCAGAAAACAGACCCAAACAAACATAGCACTTGCTCCTGTCTGCTCAGAGTGAGCAGCAATTCCACAGGGCTGTGGTGGTTGCTATTAACCAAAGCTTTCCTTTTATTTGCATGGAAGCGGGCACATGATTAAAATGTGGTTTTTTAATCTATGTCACCAGAGGATTGCTGTTTGGATTCCCACCTGAAAATCCCACTTTGTCTCTCCAGCCTCACTGGGTGTTGCTAATCTCTTTGTGTCCATTTTCTTTCTGTGCTAAGAAACAGAATGGTGCCCTTACACTATGCTACAGCCCTGAGCAGGGTTAGCGGGGTCTACAGTTCCATGGTAATCGTATTTTACAGGCAAATGAAAATGCGTGGTCAGGCAAAGGTTTTTTGTTTCTTTCTGTCAGGATAATGAATTTAGCCAATAAAATATTGAAATTTGTAACACATTTGGATTGCTAATTTGTGAGATAAAGTGAAAGGAATTTATTAAATCAGAACTATTCAGAAAAAGCCAGGCAGTGTGTCTACAGAGACTTTATTGGGAAAACTACCAATTCCTTGGGCAAAAACATCCCATTCTCTCTAAGTTCGCTGCATGAAACCAAATAAGATAATTAATGAGGTATAACAACTGAATCTTGAAGAGATATATCTGTGTGAAATCAATTAGATACCAACCTCCCAGTGTGCCATGATTGCCAATTGATGATACATCATAGTTGTTTGATTTTGAAACACTATGATTTTTTAAAAATTGAATAATCTTTGTTCAAGTTCATGAGTAGTATACATCAAAGCTCAAAGACTGAGGAGGTGGTTTTGGAATGTATAAGTCCAGGCCCTCTCTCCCTACAGTAAGTAGCTAGAAAGATGGTCAAAATGAACTAGGATAGTCATTTCAATTTCTTTTATCTCTTTATTAGCTGTGTGACCTTGAACAAGATGCTGAACACTCTGGACCTCAATTTCTTCACCATCAAAATTAGAGACCTAGATTGCTGTGTAAACTAAGTTACCTGATACATGTTAATATAGTGTAGAAATGTCCATCTCCATGTCGGTACACATATTATCAGGAGTACTGTTGTCATTCACATTCACTTGTCTGGGTATACACTGCACCTCCAGTTTAACTTAGTTATTTCTGTAAGCCAACCATGAGCCCTTGTTAGGGATTTTTTAAACTGTGCTAGATCCTGGAGTGATGTCTCAATCACTTTCGTGTTGCTGAGACACAATACCTAACACCAAAAAACTAAAAGGAAGAGAGGTTTATTTAGACTCGTGGTGACTGATAGTGGTCAGCCAGATCCAAGGCAGAAAAGGCACACTAAAAAAGCCTGGATGGAGGAAATCTCTCCACATAGCGGTGGCCAGGAAGCCAAGAGATAAAGAAGGAAGTAGCTGGGGAGGGAGAGCTACCTCCCTCTTCCAGTCACACCCCCAGGGACCCTCCTCTTCCTGCCAAGCCTCGCCTCCTAACAGCAAGTCAGCTAGAGAGACCTCTGGGGAAGCCGCGCCTCTGAGAGCAGAGGCAGTGGGGGATGTTTTAGAGCTAAACCATAACAGGCGGTAGAATTAAAAGGCAACTAGAATTTCTTCAACAATGAGATTCAGGGCAGATAAGGGGAATTGGGCAAATTATCATTCCACATAGAATTCTGGCTTTGATTTATGTATGAGTTACAAATTTTTATTATGTGCACACACTCAGACACCCACATACACACACAGTCTGGCGCTCACCCACCTGTTCATCCGGTCTTGCTTAAAGCATGCATTGAGAAGGATCTCCTCCATCCCTGGTGAAGCAGGGACCCTCTTTAGCTTTGGTAAACATCTGGAAGGGCTGGTCCCCTCACCTGCACCCCAAAAGCCCTACCCTCAAGAATTTTATGAGCTTAAGAATGATTTCTTTAGGGCTGAAGATATAGCTCAGTGGCATAAACACCTGCCTGCCAAGCCTGGGGTCGTGAGTTTGATCCCCAGTACCAAAAATAAATAAATAAATAAAGCCATTTTACTGCTCCATTTATTGATTGATCACCATCTAGAAAAGTTACCTGCTAAGATTTTGATATATTTTATCTTAGAACAGTGTCATTCAGTAGAAAATAATCTACAACCACAGTCTGTACTTACTGAGATTTTAACAGAACAAGACATATATGTATGCCCCTATGGACAACTGTTATCTTGAACTGAATGCAGAGGAGATAATGTCTTCTCCAACCTAGAGCCATTTCTGATTTTTGTTGATTGGTTGGGGTTTTGCTTTTTGTTGGTCTTGTTTGAAATTGAAGAGCCATGCAGTCTACAACATTCCACACTCTTCCTCTGATGTTGGCAGGATCCCCCTTGCCACAGTGTCACATGCATATGCAGCCACATGTAGCTAGTGTTTCTATGTACTGTCTCAGAGTCCACAAGGGCCTTCCTTACAGACTTCCTGACAACTGGCTGTAAGCATAGCTTAACCAATTGACACGTGCTTTGGTTTCATCCAACTCCTGCAGCCCAAACCAATAGACATGGGCTTTGGTTCACCTAACTCATCCAGCTCAACCAATAGGCATGGGCTTTGGTTTCATCCAACTCATCAAGCTCAACCAATACATTTGGGCTTTGGTTTCATCCAACTCATCCAGCTCAACCAATAGGCATGGGCTTTAGTTTCATCAAACTCATCCAGCTCAACCAATAGGCATAAGCTTTGGTTTCATCCAACTCATCCAGCTCAACCAATAGGCATGGGCTTTGGTTTCTTCCAACTCATCCAGCTCAACCAATAGGCATGGGCTTTGGTTTCATCTAACTCATCCAGCTCAGCCAATAGGCATGGGCTTTGGTTTCATCCAACTCACCTTTACTTGCCTTTATTGTTTAGCAGCCTTTCTTGTGATTTTTTTCATGAACGATATTATGAACATTTTCCATTCCATCCCTTCACAGTGGAGCATATAAGGCTTCCAGCCTGTCCTAGGGAGGCTCACAATGTGGGCCTCTGTGTTCCAGCACCTCTCATTCTCCATCTTCAGTGACTCGGAGGGAGCCCACCTCTCCTTCCTTGTCCATTCCTACTGTCCTGGGTACATGGGTCTCCAGCCCTCTTCAGGTCTTGAGGAAGACTTTTCATTCCCCCAGCATGCAAGCAGTCACCATCTGCTTTGCTACATGGCGGCATTACTGGAATCCAGAAGAATTCTGTTTTTATTGGAATTTGCATGTTTATTATCTCGTAGGTTTCTAAGTTTTTTTTTTTTTTATGAACTCATACTATTCATAGGTACTATGAGGCACAAGGAGATGGTGGATAGTGGTTAACTCAAAACAACTAGCATAGCCATTTCCACTGCCCTTGTTCTTGTTAATGCACTGTTGTTAGCTATATTCACCCTGCTGGGCCACTGAACACCAGAACTTATTCCTCTCATCAAAACATTTTAATACCCGTTGGTCAAGCTATCCTCCTCACCTTTTAGTCTCTGGTAACTATTGTCCTCTCATCTTCTGTGAGTTCGACGTTTTTAGATTCCACATGAGTGAGATATGCAACATCTTTCTCTGTTTGCTTCATCTCTCTTAACAAG